ACTACAATAAAAACAATAAAAAAATCAAACACTTGAACGCTGAATAGCATACTATAAATAATGATTGGGTATGATTGGGTCCAAAGGGATCAAAGAAGAAATAAAAAACATCCTGGAAACAAATGACAATGAAAACACAACAATCCAAAATCTTTGGGACACAGTGAAAGCAATTCTGAGGGGAAAGGTAATAGCATTCCAGGCCTTCCTAAAAAAAACACACACAAAAAAACAAGAAAAACTAGTAATAAAACATCTAACTCTGTAAATAGAAGAATTAGAAAGAGAGCAACAAGAAAAGCCCAGAGTGAGCAGAAGGAAGGAAATAATAAAGATCAGAGCAGAAATAAATGACATAGAGACCAGGAAAAAAAAAAACAATACAAAAGATCAATGAAACCAAGAGCTGGTTCTTTGAAAGGATGAACAAGATTGATGAACTGCTAGCCAGGCTCACCAAGAATCAAAGAGAGAGGACCCAAATAAACAAAATCAGAAATGAAAGAGGCGAAATAACAACACACCCTACAGAAATATGAAGGATTACAAAAAAAATACTGTGAACAACACTATTCCAACAAACAGGTCAAAACAGAATAAATGCACATATTCCTAGAAAAATATGACCTTCCAAAACTCAACCAGGAGAAATCAAAAAAATCTGAATAGGCCAATAACTATGGAGGAAATTGAAGCAGTAATCAAAAAACTTCCAACAATCAAAAGCCCTGGACCAGACGGCTTCACAGGGGAATTTTATCAAACATTCAAAGAAGAAATAAAACCTATCTTCCTCAGACTATTCCAAACTATTTAAGAGGAGGGAACACTTCCAACATCTTTCTACGAAGCCAAGATTACTCCAATCCCAAAATCATACAAAGAAAGAGAATTATAGGAAAATATCCCTCATGAACATAGATGCAAAAATTCTCAACAAAATATTAGCAAATCAAATCCAGCATTACATTAGAAAGATCATACACCATGACCAAGTGGGATTTATTCCAGTAATGCAAGGATGGTACAATACCCACTAATCAATAAATGTGTTATATCACATAAACAAATTGAGAGATAAAAACCATATAATCATATCCATTGATGCAGAAAAATCATTTGACAAAATCCAACACCCTTTCTTGATAAAAACGCTCAGCAAAGTGGGAATAAAAGGATGATACCGCAACATAATTAAAGCCATATATGACAAACCCATAGCCAACATCATACTCAATGGGCAAAAACTAAAATCATTTTCCCTAAGAAAAGGAACAAGACAGGGATGCCCACTCTCACCACTCCTGTTTGACATAGTACTGGAAGTACTAGCCATTGCAATCAGACAAGAAGAAGAAATAAAAGGCATCCAAATTGGAACATTAGTAAAACTGTCCTTATTCGCAGTTGACATGATATTGTACATAGAAAACCCCAAACACTCCATCAAAAAACTACTTTATTTAATAAATGAATTCAGCAAAGTAGCAGGATAAAAAATTAGCACCAAGAAGTATATGGCTTTTCTATACACAAATAATGAACTCACAGAAAGAGAAACTTAAAAAGCAATCACATTTACCATTGCAACAAAAAAATTAAGATACCCAGGAATAAATTTAACCAAGGAGATAAAGCAGTGGTTCTCAACCTTCCTAAATCTGCAATCCTTTAATAAAATTCTTCATGTTTTGGTAACCCCCAACCATAAAATTATTTTCGTTGCTACTTCATAACTGTAATTTTGCTACTGTTATGAATCATACTGTAAATATCTGATATCAGGACGACCCCTGTGAAAGTGTTGTTGGACCCTCAAAGAGGTTGCAACCTACAGTTTGAGAACCGGTGAGATAAAGGACCTGTACTCAGAAAATATCAGGACACTGAAAAAGAGATAGAGGAAGACATGAACAAATGGAAGAATATACCATGTTCATGGATTTGGTAGAATCAACATCATTAAAATGACCAAACTACTCAAAGTTATCTATAAATTCAATGCAATCCTCATTAAAATACCAACCACATACTTCAAAGACCTAGGACAGACTCTCCAAAAATTCATCTGGAGTAAAAAAAGATCCCAAATAGCTGAAACAATCTTGAGAAAGAACAATGTTGGAGGGGACCTCAACACCAGATATCAAGCTATACAACAAAGCCACTGTTCTCAAAACTGCCTGGTACTGGCACAAGAACAGACATATAGACCAGTGGCACTCCATCAAAAAACTACTTTATTTAATAAATGAATTCAGCAAAGTAGCAGGATAAAAAATTAGCACCAAGAAGTATGTGGCTTTTCTATACACAAATGATGAACTCACAGAAAGAGAAACTTAAAAAGCAATCACATTTACCATTGCAACAAAAAAATTAAGATACCCAGGAATAAATTTAACCAAGGAGATAAAGCAGTGGTTCTCAACCTTCCTAAATCTGCAATCCTTTAATAAAATTCTTCATGTTTTGGTAACCCCCAACCATAAAATTATTTTCGTTGCTACTTCATAACTGTAATTTTGCTACTGTTATGAATCATACTGTAAATATCTGATATCAGGACGACCCCTGTGAAAGTGTTGTTGGACCCTCAAAGAGGTTGCAACCTACAGTTTGAGAACCGGTGAGATAAAGGACCTGTACTCAGAAAATATCAGGACACTGAAAAAGAGATAGAGGAAGACATGAACAAATGGAAGAATATACCATGTTCATGGATTTGGTAGAATCAACATCATTAAAATGACCAAACTACTCAAAGTTATCTATAAATTCAATGCAATCGCAATCCTCAAAATACCAACCACATACTTCAAAGACCTAGGACAGACTCTCCAAAAATTCATCTGGAGTAAAAAAAGATCCCAAATAGCTGCTACAATCTTGAGAAAGAACAATGTTGGAGGGGACCTCAACACCAGATATCAAGCTATACAACAAAGCCACTGTTCTCAAAACTGCCTGGTACTGGCACAAGAACAGACATATAGACCAGTGGAAAAGAACAGAGAACCCAGAAATTGACCAAAGTTACTGTGCTCAATTAATATTTGACAAAGGAGGCAAGAACATACAATGGAGTCAAGATAGTCTCTTCAATAAATGGTGTTGGGAAAATTGGACAGATAGATGCAAAAAAATTAAACTAGTCCTCCAACTTATGCCATACACAAAATAAACTCAAAATGGATAAAGGATTTAAATATAAGATGGGAAACCATAAAAATATTAAAGAAGCCATAGGCACTAAAGTAGCAGACATTTGTCAAAGCAATATCTTCATTGATACAGCTCCTAGGGCAATGGAAACTAAAGAGAAAATAAACAAATGGGACTACATCAAAATAAAAAGCTTCTGCACAGCAAAAGAAACAATTAACAAAACAGCAAGAAAACCCACTGCATGGGAGAACATATTTGCCTATGTTATCTCTGATAAGGGTTTAATCTCCAACATTTACAGGGAACTCATACAACTTAACAAAAGGAAGATAAACAATCCAATCACAAAACGGGCAAAGGAACTAAATAGATACTTTGCGAAAGAGAACATACAGAAAGTCAAAGAGACTTATGAAAACATGCTCAAAGTCACTAATCATCCGAGAGATACACATCGAAACAACAATGAGATACCATCTCACACCTGCCAGAATGGCTATCATCAACAAATCAACAAATGACAAGTGCTGGCTAGGATGCGGAGAAAAAGAACCCTCCTTCACTGCTGGTGGGAATGCAGACTGGTGCAGTCACTGTGGAAAACAGTATGGCGTTTCCTCAAAAAATTAAATGAAACTTTCATTTGATCTAGTAATACCACTTCTAGGAATATATCCCAAGAAACTAGAAACACCAATCAGAAAGAATATATGCACCCCTATGTTCATAGCAGCACAATTCACAATAGCTAAGATTTGGAAACAGCCTATATGCCCAACAGCCGATGAGTGGATTAAAAAACGGTGTTACTTATACACAGTGGAATACTACGCTGCTGTAAAAAAAAGAAGGAACTCTTACCATTTGCAACAGCATGTATGGAACTGGAGAGCATTATGCTAAGTGAAATAAGCCAGTCAGTGAAAGATAAATACCACATGATCTCACTTATTTGTAGAATATAAAGAACATTATAAACCCATGAACAAAAATAGATACAGAGGCAAAGAAGCATCCAACAGACTGTCAAGCTACAGTGGGAAGGAAGGGGAGGGTCGGGGGGAGAGGTAAGAGATCAATCGAAGGACTTGTAGCCATGCATATAAGCATAACCAATGGACGCAAGACACTGGGGGTGAGGGTGAAGGCATGTGCCAGGGGATAGGGGAGGCCAGGGGGAGGTCAATGAGGAAAAAAAGACATAAGCACTACTATTTGTAATACTTTAAACAATAAAATTAAATTAAAAATTAAATTATTTAAAAATAAAAAATCTTTGATATAGAAATTAAAATTATATTCTAATAATTATCAATAATTACACAAATAGGTAGATTGAAAAGAGAAAATATACTACTTCAGGTTTATGAGAACATAAAGTCATTTTTATAAATAACATATGTATAAAGATATTAGAAAAGTATATGCCCATTTTAGAAGAGTTATGTCTAATTACATAAAAAACATTTTTTCATTAGTAGGCTTTTCATTGTAATTTTATGCCAAACAAGTATTTGATCAGCTGTTTTCCTCAAAACAGAAAAGCAGAAGCTAAAATAATAAACATAAGTGACAGCTCTTTAGAAGATTTTAGCACCAGTTTCAAAAGTTACAATTGGATTCTAAATTACAATGTGTAAAGAACAAATTGGTTATGAATAGTTTTACTCTACTTTAGGCTCTGCTTTTCTTATGTGAACTTAAACTTCAGTCCATAGAACTTTTCAACTCATTCCCAGCCACCGTTTCTGCAGACTTCTAGTTACAAGTACAAATGCAACTCCAATCATGATGTTTACTACCTCCCATCCACTGCCCAGCCATGCTGTTACCTGGAACCAGCTTCAAGGCATTCTCCAGGTACTCATCTTCTGTGATAGGACGACCATTTAACTCCAGCTCCAGGGTGAAATCCCGTACGGCCCAGATAAAGTCTGGAAAGAAACTCACAAATTCTGTTGAATCTTCTACTCCATCTGGCGTAGTGGAGGACTTTGCCCTAATGAGTTCTGTCAGCTCTGTCACGTAACTAGGACCTGGCTAAGGAAAATAAACTTTCTACCCACAATTCCCACATTTCTCTATTCAGAAAAACAAAAAACAAAACAAAAAATAGTATTATGAACACTCTCACTCGGTTCCTTTTGGTCTACCAAAGGCAACTAAGTGAGAGGGAAGGAGAAACTGACTGGATCCCCATTCCCATTGAAGCCATGGCACATGTAAGTTGGGTTCCTAGAAGGATACTGCAGCTGCTCCAGGGCCTGGTGGTTGATGGTGCTCATGCTGTTGTAGACGAAGCTGCTACATAGCAGCACAGCCAGGGCAAAGATCCACGAGTCATTCTTAGGGTCGCCCTGGAAGTACATTAGGGCATGACATTCAGGGGTTTACCCTATAGAAATTCATTCAGACACTAAGTCTAACAGTCCTTCATTTTATTTCAGGTAAGTTACTCACAATGCAAGCAAGTAAGTTTGAAGATGGGAATAAATATACATATGAGCTTTAGCAATTACAAAAACATTACTTGTGACTGTGATTTTGTCATCACAGGGTTTTCTTTTTAATGAATTGGATGAAATAAAATAACATATAAAGTAATTTAGTGCAGCACCTGGTGTGCTATTAGGTTCAATGAATGGTATTAGCACATATTTATTCTACATATATTTGTTGGTCATGGACTATATAAAATATTCCATAGTTAACATAACTGGGGATATATCCAAGAAGTGTTTATGGGAAACTACTGAATATTTCCACTGTTGTTAAAATTAAAAATCAGTTTAAAATGACAAATATTACTTTCAAGGTCACTATTTCAAAGCCATGATGAACATCTATAGCAAGGAATATAACAAGGATAATATCTATAGGATGCTTCATAAAAGTAACATATATAAGCATTGGAACCTGTAGCAATAATAGTAAATTAAGGGGGAAGGGAGAGAAAATATCAACCAAAGAACTTATATGCATATATGCTCAAAACATGGACATTGACATAAGCATGCTGAAGGCCTGGAGAGGGGATAGGTGTGAGAAAGATGTGGTCAATAGGAGGGGAAGAAGGGAAATATATGTAATACTTTCAATAATAAATATAAATTTTAAAAAGCATTAAGTTAAAATTTACAAGTCTAGCATGGAAGATCAGAACTCTGAAATTGGGAAAATTTTACATAACATAAAATCTTCCTCAGCATCTTGATTGAAAATTAAAGACTTAGCAGAGTGTGAATTTGAATAAGTGAAGGTATCTTGCACATGGAAAGACCCACAGAAGCAAAAGTAGACATGGCCACATACAGAAGTCTTTTCAAAAAAAGTAGAGTTATTTGATCTGACTGGAACAGAGGGTAGGTCAAGAAGTTAAAGCTGGATAGTGAGCCTAGGGCAACCAGATGAAGGACCTTAAAGGAGGGGTTAATTTGTTTGTATAAAATACAGCAGGTCTAAATAACGGCACAATACAGACTTTTCATTCCATTACAAACACTCTCTAAAGTTGTTCCCCAGAGCAAAAGTGGAAAATATCAAGAAAAACTTGGAAGGAAATGCTGATTTGTCCATTTATATTCCAAAGCCCAATTTTAAAAAAATGATTACAATAAGAAGTGGCACTTATGACAACCAATAGGTTATACAGACAGCAAGACTGTTTGATATATAAAAATAAACACAAAATTTCTACGTCTTCTTTGGGCATAAATAAAAAGTTGTAGAAATTTAGGTACTATTTACAAATAAGTCTCAAAATAAAGCAGAAAAGGAGAAATCATTCATTTTACCCTTTAGTAGAAAACTAAAATATCAAAAACCCATCTTAAAATGTTGTAAAACAAACACATCTTTTATAGAAGCATCCCATTCAGAGGTGTCTCAAAGTCTTCCAAAATGCTTGGTGAGTACTTGGTGAACTTCACCAGAGGACTGCAAACTTTTTGAGGGCAGGGCTTTTACATGGGTCACTAGTATCTACAGTACTAACTTAGAGACCCAGGAATATGGTGCTCAGCAATTGAATCAATTATTCATGCACTGCCAAGAAATAGAAAAAATTTACTCAATGTACCATGACACCTTACCTAGAAATAAGAGTCAAACAAGGGAGCATTTGCCTGATATATATAACTAGTAGTCCGGTGCACGAAATTCGTGCACTGGGGTGGGGGGGGAGGAAGGGGCCCCTCAGTCTGACCTTCACCCTCTCCAATCTGAGACCCCTCAGGGAATGTCCAAGTACCTGTTTGTGCCCACACTTTTAACAGATAACAGCTCCATTGTTGTTCCTTTCTTATGCTTAAAACCATTGGAATTAGTAGGTATTCAAAGTGTGTATACATTTTGGGGGGACACCCTGTATATCTCTAGTCAGCGGTGAAAGAAACCAACAGCAGATTTGGAACCCCCAGACAAGGAACCTCGCTCACAACCCACATGTCTACCACTTCACTTTCAACCTTTGTGGGCAGCAGGAGAATCAACGTTTTCTCTCAGAAATTAATTCGGAAAAGCACGTCCTGTCACCCGCTGCCCAGCAGGAGTGAGCTAGGCCCCAAGCAAGTGAGGCTCAGTCAGGGCAGCCTTCACTCATGGGTGCTGGCACCCAAAGTGCACATTCCTCCTCTACAGTCGCCCCAA